CAGCATACAGGTGGTAGTGGAATCCAAAAGAGGTAATACGTTTGCCAAGAGAGGCAGTATAAAGAGAAAATAGAAGGGGACCAAGTACAGAGCCTTGGGGGATTCCAACTGAGACAGGACGAGGGGAGGAGGTGTCATTAGAAAAAGAGACACTGAATGAGCATTGGGAGAGATAAGAGGAAAACCACGAGAGGACAGAGTCACAGAGACTGAGTGATTGAAGAGTTTGAAAAAGGAGAGCATGATCAACGGAGAGTTGGAATTGAGGAAATGAGACACACGACAAGTCTTTCCAGAAGCTTTGAGGGAAAAGGGAGCAAGGATATAGGACGATAGTTAGAGGGGGAGGACGGGTCAAGAGATTTTTTTTTTCAGGATAGGTACTACAGTGGCATGTTTAAGATCAGCAGGTACAATGCCAGAAGAGAGAGAGAGCAGTTGAAAATGTGCGTTAAGCAAGGCACGAGACAAGTGGAGAAAGATCTGATAAGGTGAGATGGGACAGGATCGAGTGGGCAAGTGGAGGGGCGAGAGGAAAAGAGAAGAGCAGCCACCTCTTGGTCAGTAGCCAGGGAGATGTCTGAAGGGTAAGAAAGGCATGATCCATGTGTGGTTGAGAAAGAGAACGGCAGGGAGGGGAGAATTCTTTCCTTAGCTGTTCAATCTTGTCGGTAAAGTAACATGCAAAGCTATCGGCAGTAAGGTTAGTTTGCGGGATGGCCACAGCAGGGCGAAGAAGAGGATTAAAGGTGTCAAAGAGACACCTGGGATTGCGGGAGCATGAACTAATGAGAGAGGAAAAGTAGGACTGTTTGGCGAGGGCAAGGGCTGTGCTGTATGAACACTATAATGGAGAAAGTCTAACTGGGTGCGAGACTTCCTCCAGGAGCGTTCAGCACAACAGGAGCATCTTTGCAGGTGGCATGTTGATTTAGTATGCCACGGTTGTGGGCGTATCCTCCTCAAGGTGCTTGTTTGGAGCAGTGCTGCAGCATCAAGGCAGAGGTGGGGCTAGTGTTATATGCGGAGATGGCCAGAGAGGGAAGGGATGGGTAGCAGTTGTGAATCAATATCAGCTGACAGCTGCTGGAGATCAAGAGAATTAAGGTTCCTCCTGAGTTGAGGAGGGTTAGGCTGAGGTTGTTGGGTTAGGGGGTACACGAGAGCAGGGCCGGACTGGGGATACAGCTAAGTCCTGAAAAACCACACCCACGACACAACAATCCACATGACACAGAGACAGACACACACCACGACACACACACAACCACGACAGAGACACCACGACAGAACAATAACACACCACACACAACTACGACAGACACACACACCACGACACACACCCATGACAGACACACACCAAATACGACACACACACACACAACCACGACAGACAACATATCACGACACACCACACAGAGACAGACACACACCACGACATCCACGACAGAGACAGACACACCATGACCACACAACAACTACGACAGACACACACCACGACACCATGACAGAGACAACCACGACACACAACTACGACAGACACACACCACACACAACCACGACAGAGACACACACCACGACGGGGACACACACACACACACCACGATACACACACACCATGACAACAGACACACACCATGACACACACCATGACAGGACACACGACACACACAACCATGACAGACACACACACACACACCATGACAGACACACATATCATGACACACACACACACCATGACAGAGACAGACACATACCATGAAACACACACACACCATGACAGAGACAGACACATACCATGACACACACACACACAATGACAGAGACACACATACCATGACACACACACACACACCATGACAGAGACACACATACCATGACACACACACACACACCATGACAGACACACATACTATGACACACACACCATGACAGACACACATACCATGACACACACACACACACACCATGACAGACACACATGCCATGACAGACACACATACCATGACACACACACACCATGACAGACACACATAACATGACACACACACACACACATACCATGGCACACACACACCATGACAGAGACACACATACCATGACAGACACACATACCATGACACACACACACCATGACAGACACACATACCATGACACACACACACACACACCATGACAGACACACACACCATGACAGACACACATACCATGACAGACACACACACACAGACAGTATAACACATATTACCTGTGGGCCAGGGGGGTCATGCAGGGCAGAGAGCAGGGGTGGCGGCCGCTGGAGGACCTCTTCTGGCGGCCGCTGGAGGAGCAGGGATGGCGGCCGCTGGAGGAGCAGGGATGGCGGCCGCTGGAGGAGCTGTGCTGTCTCTGCTCCCCCGCCCTCGCGCGCTACTGAATGAGACCGGGACCGGAAAATGACGTCATTTTCCGGCCCTTGTCTCATTCAGTAGCGCGCGAGGGCGGGGGAGCAGAGACAGCACAGCTCCTCCAGCGGCCACCATCCCTGCTCCTCCAGCGGCCCGCCAGCAGACCCATGTGCCAACGGCCCACCGGGAAATTTCCCGGTATCCCGGTGGGCCAGTCTGGCCTTGTACGAGAGCAAACATAGAGGTGGTGATCAGAGAGAAAAAATGGAGTGTTGCAGATATTAGATACTGTACATGCATAAGAGAAGATTACGGCAAGGGTATTGTCAGCTACATGGGTGGGAGAATTAGCCCACTGTGATAGCCCGAGGGAAGAAGTAATTGAAAGTAGTTTGGAGGCTGCTGAGGTCAAAGGTGGGTTAATGGGAATATTGAAGTCCCCGAGAATTAGGGATGGAATATTAGAAGACAGGAAATAGGGTAGCCAAGCAGCAAAGTGGTCAAGGAAGAGGAGAGGGGAACCAGGGGGACGATAAATAATGGCAATGTTAGCAGAAAAGGGTTTGGAAAGGTGAATTGAATGTATTTCAAATGATGGGAAAGAAAGGGAAGGGGGGGTGGGTAGAGGTTTAAAGGAGCAGTGAGGGGAGAGGAGAAACCCTACACCACCACCTTTACATTCAGAGGTTCTTGGGTTGTGGGTAAGTTGAAGACCACCAAAGGACAAAGATAAAGGGGTAGCAGTGTCAGAGGGGGAGATACATGTTTCTGTTAAGGCTAGTAAATCTATTGAACGAGAGATGAAGAGGTTATGGACAGCAGTGGATTTTGTAATATTGCAAACAGAGCATGCATTCCAGAGGGCAGTATTGAAGGAGGATTTAGAGGAACATGAGATGGGTATGAGATTAGTGTGGATCCTTGGGGTAGTATGTGGTGAGTTTGCCGAGATGGGACCGGGGTTTGGAGAGACATCACCAGCTGCTAGGAGCAGAAGGATAGAAAGGAAGTGAAGGTGGAAGTAGGATTTTAAAGTTTTGTAGGAGGGTATGTATATAGAGGATTTGGGAGGAGTTGGTGGAGATAGGCTGGAAAGGTATATGTAGCATGCATGGGATGAATAGAGAGGGGAGGGTAGTAAAGTGGAAGTAATGAAGATGGTGTTACCAGGGACAGGTGAGCAGAAGAATAGATATTTTAGTAATGAGAGAAGTTAGTGTAAAAGTGAAAAATAGAAGGGAGAACATTATTTAGAGAAAATGTGTATTATTATATAGATATGAAGATTATATATATATATATATATATATATACACACACACACACACACACACACACATATCAATGAGTGTTTAAACATTGTTAAGAATGCAGTATGTTAACAGAGGGATTTCAGGTGAGGAGAGGTTTAGTGACTTGATTGGTGTGTTTTGAAAACCAGCTGATCTGCACTATCTATAGGTAAGGTAATGACCATGGGGTGGTCATTTTAAATTAAGAGTGAAAGGAAACAATAAGTAGTACAGGAATTCTTGAGTAGATCTTCCAGAGATGATACCTCTGCTTAGAAGATTCTGCAGGACTTGGTTGCTTGTGAGTAACTTATATAGGTCCCACATGCCCCTCCCACAACACCAGGCAAGGCCTTTACATATATATATGATATATATATATATATATATTAAACCAAGAGCAGGCATTAGGCTGCTAGTGCATGACCTGCCAAAAATGGGGTACATTGACGTTGTGGCATGCTTATGCAATGTATGTATGTATGTATCATATACTGTAACTAACCCCCCATAATTTTTTGCCTAGGTGAGGTGTTTAATAAAAAAAATTACATTCTGTGAGACTTGGAAGTGCTATTTAGTGAATTAGCGAGTGTGCTAGGTTTTGTATGTTATATACATACAAAATATATCTTATATATATTACACTATAACACTGCCATCGAATGCATCCTGCAGAGGGTACGTCTATACAGAGTTTATATAAGACCAACAGACCCGTCTATCCTACCCACAGGATATTCAGCCTAGAAAGATCATAAGTATCCACCCTTAAATTCCAGATGTTACTGGATATTTTTCCTAGAATTCTCTGGTAACCCAAAGCAGAATATAAAGTTAAAGGTTATATTTTTAAGACACTACAAAATTAAAAATGATTTTCGATAAACTCTGTATAGACGTACCCTCTGCAGTGTAGGCAAAGCTATGTGGACACTGGCCAGTCATACTCCATGCAGTCTTGACATATTAACCTTACCACGGGTGAATTGGATTAACAAGCCACTTTTTCCACCTCTGAAAATTTTTTATCACTTCAATAAATTGGCTTGGACACAGCACAGTGAGGCCTGTGTATTCACACACTACTTTCTGCTTGTAGATTCAAAAGATTCTTTGGTATGTTCAGGCCAACAATCGTCCTCTTTGATAAATGTCCAAGTTTTAAGATACCACATTCCTCACTTAATTTGGACCTGTACTCAGAACTCGTTAGCTTTGGCCCTTCTCACTCCTGGGTTGGCAACTGTGCAAGTTATCATAGCTGAAAAACTTAGCATTCCTTACAGGGTGAGGAGTGAGTGCTCTGTATTTCTGTTACCTTTAGTAGTGGCACAAGCTGCTTCTTTCATTAACCCTGCAGCTGGCAGATGTTGCCAGCCTCTTTCTGCTAATTACTAGACCCAAGGAATAAATAGTGGATTACAATCCTCAAACCACTCTACTCTGGAAATCAAATCAACAGGCAGTAATTTAAAAAAACCATGCATCATCTAGCTCAGTGGTTCCCAAACTTTTTAGGTTCAAGGCGCCCTTAATATTTCAATATTTTTCCAAGGCACCCCAAGCAGGGCCGGCACTACCATAAGGCAAATAAGGCATTCGCCTGGGGCGCCGAATTGCAGGGGGCGCCCACCGGGAAGTTTCATGGTGGGCTGCCCTGCTGTTGTCTGGGGCTGGAATGATGGGTGAACGGCTCCTTAGCCACCCCCCAGCACACCCATTCATGGCTCCCTCTGCTGCTGCTTGTCTGCTCAGGGAGCGGGTTTTGCTTTATCCCCGGCACCCGAGCAGAGCACACTGCTTCCTGCAGGTAGGGGAAGCCGGGACATGACCTGGTGTCCCCACTGCCCCCTGCCTGTGAACTTCGGAAGCACTCTGAGGGGAAGAGGAAGTAGGCTGTGCTCACAGTGCACACCTCTCCTGCCCCCCCTGCCCCTCCACACAGCAGAAAGAAGAACTTCCTGCAGCCTGGACATCTTCTCCTCACAGCACCCAGGTAGGCTAAGGGGGATTGTTTATTGTATGAATAGTTGTAAGATGGTGTGTGTGTTAGCGAGAGTGTGCGAGTGACACTGTGTGTGTTAGTGAGAGTATATAAATGACACTGTGTGTGTTAGTGAGAGTGTGCAAGTGACACTGTGTGTTAGTGAGTGTGAAAGCAACACTGTGTGTGTTAGCAAGAGTGTGCAAGTGACAATGCGTGTGTGTTAATGAGAGTGTGCAAGTGACACTGTGTGTTAGTGAGAGTGTGTGACACTGTGTGTGTGTTAGTGAGAGTGTGTAAGTGACACTGTGTATGTCAGTGAGTGTGTGTGTTAGTGAGAGTGTGTCTCTTTTTTTCCTAAATGTGTGCTAAAAATGTGTGTTTACTATGTCTCTCTCCTAAATGTCTTCTAGTCTCTGTTTTCTAAATATCTCAACAGTCTCTCTATCCTTTCCCTAAATGTCTCCCTTCTCTTAATTTCTCACTGTGCGTCTGCTTTCGCTTAAAGAGACACTATAGGCACCCAGACCACTACAGTTCATTGAAGTGGTCTGGATGCACTATATCAGGGCCCTTAACCCTGTAATTATTATAGTTTTTAACAATCTGCAATAATTAGCATTCAGGGTTAACTCCACCTTTAGTGGCTATACACTGGGACGTCCAGCGTCACGCAAAACCCCATTGTATAATACTTTTCTATGGGGAAATCCTAATGCGGCCATTGAGGAGTGAAGGTGTACCCGAGGGTAAGCTGCTTCTTTCATTAACCCTGCAGCTGGCAGATGTTGCCAGCCTCTTTCTGCTAATTACTAGACCCAAGGAATAAATAGTGGATTACAATCCTCTAACCACTCTACTTTGGAAATCAAATCAACAGGCAGTAATTTAAAAAAAAAACATGCATCATCTAGCTCAGTGGTTCCCAAACTTTTTAGGTTCAAGGCGCCCTTAATATTTCAATATTTTTCCAAGGCACCCCAAGCAGGGCCGGCACTACCATAAGGCAAATAAGGCATTCGTCTGGGGCGCCGAATTGCAGGGGGCGCCCACCGGGAAGTTTCATGGTGGGCTGCCCTGTTGTCTGGGGCTGGAATGATGGGTGAACGGCTCCTTAGCCACCCCCCAAACGGAAGGGCATTTTAAACCCCTTTAAAACCTCGGGTAGGGGCGCTTGACAGAGAAGTAAGCTATAGTGCCAGGAAAACAAGTTTGTTTTCCTGGCACTATAGTTTCCCTGTAATGTCTACTCAGTGTAATTCTTTCCCTAAATGTTTCCTCACTGCAATTCAGAGTTTAGTGAATAAACCTCTGAGAGAATGTGGTTGCATTCATGAGGAGGCGGCAAAATGGATTGTTGCCTAGGGCGGCCCCAAGTCAATATATTTTCTAGGTTTTATATATGTACAACGCAGCGGCATATACTGGGCCCCTGTTCGGCAATGCTTGCCGTTCAAGCACAGATCCAGAACCTAACCTTGGGAGGGGCACTGGTATATTATTTCAAGAAAAAATCCAGGCACAATAACAACTACAGCACTTTGTAGTGGTTATGGTGCCAGTAGTGCCTTCCCAGAGTAAGCAGTGAAACTGTTTAATAACAGTTTGGCAACTTACCTGGGATCTGCCAGGATAGGGGCTTTAGTAGGGGATAGGGGCAGTAGTGTGTGTGAGGGGTGCAATATATGTGTTTGAGTGGTGGAGTGAGTGTGTGTGTGTGTGTGGGGAGCAATATGTGTGTGAGTGGTGGAGTGTGTGTGTGAGAGGGGTGCAGTGTGCGTGTGTGAGGGGGTGCAGTGTGCGTGTGCGAGGGGTGCGGTGTGTGCATGTGAGGGGTGCAGGGGTGCCATTGTGTTTGTGAAGGATGTAGTGTGTGTCTGTATGTCGGGAAGTTTGTGCATAGAGTGTGTGTGTGTAGGAGGGCAGGTTGTATTAGGGGTACAGTGTGTGCGTGAGGTTTACAATGTGTGTGGGGAGGCAGGTTGTGTGAGGGGTACAGTGTGTGTATGGGGGCATTGTGTCTGAGGGGAAAGTGTGTGTGTTTGAGGGGTACAGTGTGTGTGTATAGAGGTATGGAGGGTAATGTGTGTATGGGGGTAATGTGTGTGTATGGGGGCAGTGTGTGTATGGGGATAATGTGTGTTTTTGGGGTGGGAAGTGTGTGTGTGTATGGCGGGGGAAGTGTGTGTGTGTATGGAGGTAATTGTGTGTATTTGGGGGCAGTGTGTGTATGGGGGGAGTTACACACACTGTGTCTCTGTGAGGGTAGGAGGGCAAATTAATATATATATATATATATATATATATATATTTATTTCAATTTTAAAGTAATTATTTTGTGTGACAAGGGAACTGTCTGTGGATTGTGTTTATTCTCCCTCCGTTCATCTGTTTGTTCGGTTATCTCCTTGCCCGTACAGTCCCCGTGGGTTCCCTTGGTCGCGGTTACACATGGCGGCCGAACGGTGGCGGCATTCTACAGCTCCCGGACAGCCAGCAGTGTTCAGCCCAGCCACAGTGAACTAAAAATGGACACTTTTAATCGCAAACACAGCTGAGCCGCCAGCCTTCCCTGCTTCTAGCTCCGGTCGTATTGCCGAACGCCGGAGCAATCGGGACTTTGTATTTAGTGAATGTTGTACCCAGATAGCTATGCAATGGAGCCTATTCATGTAATAAAAGACTTTGGCTCCAAGGCAATTGAACTGTATGTGTGTGGTCGGAGCCCCATTCAGTAATAATGTGCGCTCAGACCTAAGCTATCTGGGGATGTGCTACACGTACATGTTTTGTGTATCATTCGTGACATTGTGTATTTTATTGCATTTCTCTCACCTGTTGTCACCTCATGGGTAATGGCGATTTGCAAAAATACTGGGCAGGTAGCCCTTAATAAATTTAGAATCCTGTTTTACCCCCAATACGGAGCTTGGTCTCGTGATTGGGGAGGATTGCTACGGTGGAGTATTCTTTTGCCTGTTCCAGGAGAGAAGGATTTCATATGTTTCCCGTTCGGTGGGTTTGAGTGTTCGTGAGCTGCTGTTCCCTTGTTAAGGTGAATCCCTTAATCGGTATTAACCCTCACTACACCGGGTTATACCGTAACATTTTGATATCCCCCCTCCCTGCTTACCTTTGCCTGCGAGGGGTGACAGTACAAATCCATGGTGGTTCGGTGGTGAGAGTAAATTCTAGCCTGCAGCTCAGCCTAGAGTTCACTCTCACGAGATTCGGAGTGCTGCCGTGGTAACTGCTGCAACTCACGAGCTTGCAAGAGGAGAACGCGGCAGAGCTGCAAGTTAAAGCTTCCCCGGGTCCTTTCTCCCTCCCTCCCCTGCCTGCTGCCAGCATTACAGTGCAAGCGGGCCGGTGAGGGAGATCTCTGATCTCCCCTCTGGTCCTGCAGAGCCAGCAGGAGATCGGGAGGCACGGTTCCCGGTGCTATGATCATGAGACCGGAAAAATATCTTGCGGCACCACTGTGTGCCCATCACACAGTTTGGGAACTGCTGATCTAGCTTTTTAAATCACCATTTATCCTCTGTATGATTACGTATAGCTTTGCAGTATGTACCACATCATCTATACGCTTCCTAACTGTCCCAGTTTAGGCAGGGCTGTGCTGATTGGGTCCTGTCTATTTTGTTTTCTGGAGTGCCACATCTGAAGACACTATGAACTATGCCCAGTCATCACAGTGTGAGTGCAACATTAAACTTTCTTGCATTGTTCTGAGGGGACTAGAGGCATGCAGAGAGCGATATAGCAGCACACACAGCCAGGGCCGGACTGGCCCACCAGGATACCGGGAAATTTCTGGCCGGTCCGGTGGCACACTCTGAGGGGGCTGGCCGCGTTCCAGGCTGGAGCCGCCGGGCCGGGTGGCACTCCTGTCACTGCTGTGGCTGATGGCTGAAGGTGGAGGAGCATGTCTGTCTACCATGCTCCCTTGCGGTTCCCACAATTCCCAGCACAGGAACCGCGAGGGAGCATGGTACAGATACATGCTCCTCCTCCTTCAGCCATCAGCCACAGCAATGTCAGCAGTGCCACCCGGCCCGGCGGCTCCAGCCTGGAACGCGGCCCCTGACTTGTCTAGGTAAAGGGGGAGGAGGGGAGAGACACAAGGGAAGGGGGGAGGGAGAGAGATGGGGAGGAGGGGAGAGACACAGGGAAAAAGGGGAGGAGGGAGAGACACAGGAAGGAGGGAGAGCGATGGGGAGGGAGGGAGAGACACTGGGAAAGAGGAGGGAGAGAGATGGGGAGGAGGAGAGACACAGGAAAGGGGAGGAGAGGAGATGGGGAGAGGGAGAGGCACAGGGAAAAGTTGGGAGGAGAGAGGATGGGAGGAGGGGAGAGACATCACAGGAAAGCTGGGGAGGAGAGAGGAGGGGAGAGACACAGGAAGGCTGGGGAGAGGAGATGGGGGGAGGAGGAGAGACACAGGAAAGGGGAGGGAGAGATGGGAGAGGCACAGGAAAGTTACGGAAGGGGAGAGATGGGAGGAGGAGGCACAGGAAAGGGGAGGGAGAGATGGGAGGAGGGAGAGAGC